TGGACATGTCCAGAGGAGGGAGAGTGGTTTGGACATGTCCAGAGGAGGGACAGTGGTTTGGACATGTCCAGAGGAGGGACAGTGGGTGTATTGGTGGGAGGTTGTTAATAGGTCTTGTAATCCTAAGGCTGGAGGTTTGAGACTATTTTCCTGGAGCAACCAGACCACGACCATGTTCCTTATCGCCTCCACTTTTAGCCCCATCTCTGTCAGTTGTGCTAAACTGATTTAAAGATCATCTGAAATCAGAGCCAGCTTTAGTTGCCCAGAGACAGTTGTTTCTCTTTTTGTGTCTGGTCTTCGTCTGATTCATTGGCTCAGAGGTTCCATGAAGAGGAGCATCTTACAGTGCCCACTGATTTTAATTCTTCATTCATTCATTCAACCTTTATTTATACAGGTGAGTTTCCATTGGGCCTCAGGGATTCATTTAAAAGAAAGACCTGTTACTGTATTTCTCGCCCTATAAGTCACATTTTTAGGCATAATTTACATGACCTGCCACTAATAGGCCGAAGCAACATATTTATGGATTTTTCCCATATTTATAAATCAATTTTTGGCTGAGATATGACCGTTTTCATCCATCCATCCATCCATCCATTATCTTTACCCGCTTATTCCATTTTGGGTCACGGGGGTCGCCGGTGCTCATGTCCAGCAATCACTGTGCGAGGGGCGGGGGACACCCTGGACAGGTCTCCAGTCCATCACAGGGCCACATAGAGACAAACGAGACAAACAACCATTCACTTTCTCATTCACACCTAGGGACAATTTAGAGTTACCAATCAGCCTAACATGCATGTTTTTGGTCTGTGGGAGGAAACCGGAGTACCTGGAGAAAACCCACGCATGCACGGAGAGAACATGCAAACTCCACCCAGAAAGGCCCCTGGACCGGGGTTTGAACCAGGGACCTGCTCACTGAGAGGCAGCAGCTCTACCAGTTGGTAGAGCAACAATTTCTTAGTTCTACAAGTGTGGCCGTGATCAAACCTGACTGAGGCCGTGAAGATTAAATCAGCTTTCCCACAAAGAAAATCAGTTTATTCATGACTGAACGTAGGAGGGCACCTACTTTTTCCACACAAAACTAGGTTGGTTTGAGTAGATTTATGTCCTTAAAGATAACCATCATTTAAAAACTGCACGTGTACTCAGGTTATCTTTGTCTGAGTTTAACATTTGTTTAATGATCTGAAACATATTAGCCTAAATCAGCAAAACTAAAAAAGTAGCATAGAAAGACATAACAAAATCTATTATACGGAGCAGATTCAAAGAGAAAAATGTTTTTAGGGAAAATAAGAAATTTTAGTGTATTTTTATGGATAAAAAATGTTTAAATGAAGTTAAATATTTTGAAAAGCATAAAAAGTACTAAAAGCAAAACCCACATCACCCGTCTCTGCAAGTTTTTTATGTATGGATGGTTAAACTAGAAGAAATTCAACCAGGAAAACAGTATTAATACTGTCCTAGGGTTGAGGCAGTTGTGCTAATTTTGTCTATTTGATCTATTTATTTTTATTAATTCATTTCATTTTGCTGTAACTTCAGGGCTCTACTGGCAATCAAGTGCCTCAGAACAAATACGCAGAGCTGCTGGCCATCATCGAGGAGCTCGGAAAGGAAATCAGGCCCACATACGCAGGAAGCAAGAGTGCAATGGAGAGACTGAAAAGAGGTCATTTAAAACCAGCTAACTGTGGTGAAAAATAAAACAAATGTATACTGTATGCATTAAAGGACTAAAGATGTTTAAGTAACTGTGCATTTTCTTCCTTTTATAGGAATAATTCATGCCAGGGGACTGGTGCGTGAATGCTTGGCTGAGACAGAAAGAAATGCAAGATCTTAGCCATAAACACTCATTCCTCCCTGCAAGAATTAAACAAAAAATAATAATAAATACACTTGCATGGCATTTCCTTTGCAAGGAGGAAATAAGTGAAGGATGATAGAGCGAGTTGTTAGAAGGGAAAACATGGAGAAGGAAACGACTCCTAAAGGTTCTGGACTTCATGTGTTTTTACGCCCCACTTTTGGGATCTTAGTTTTGACTTCATATTGGTTTTTGCATGTGAACTGGATTATGGGTAAACCGTAGACTCTGCATGGCTTGTACAGAGGTAGTTGGATGAACCGTTATGTTTTTTTGCTGTTATTTGGTCTGTTTTTCAGACCTGGTAACACACGATGGGGCGAGGGAGGGACAGGTGTGCCAAATGCATCAGCTCATCTGTGATGAAGTTGGATTTGGTATTGACATTAAATACTGTTACTGTCATCTTTGTATGTATTTATTACTCAGTGTAATAAATTGTATTTTCAATACAGTGGACATTGTGATTCATTGTGTTTCTGTTGGAAGGAAGCAACTTCAACAAAGACTGTGGAGACATAAATGTCTTCCTTTGTTGGAACAGCAAATCCACATCAAAAGAGGTTCTTTAAAAAGAAAAACCCTTGAAGCATTTCAGTCCAATTCCTCTCTGATAGCCCACTTGAAATATTAATACCAATTGAAATACTTTCTTGACACCATGATTTAAGATGAATCACTGGCAATGCCAGGCTGTGATGGGTGTCCTTTACTTTACTTCATTAAATGTGATGATCATATCCACCCCCTTCCTGGGGCTCTACTGTATAAATGATGGGTACTACTTCCTGTCAGACAGGAAGTTGCAGTCAGCATTGGTTATCCATGGTAGTGGAGCACGAACCCCGGTTTATTTAAAAGTAATCGACATTCATTCATTTACATGCACTGAATGAAAAATTCAGTTCAGCAGATAAAACATGTTTTTGTTTTGTTCACATTTATTTAACAACCATAAAGTTTACTAAAGTAGCCGTGCTGCGTTCAGGTACCTGTTGTGTTCAGGGCTGCAGAACAACCAGACCAAACTAAATCAGTGGCTCCAACAACAGAGTTTGAACACGGACCAAAACAAAAAGAGTTCCTGTGAAAACAGGTATAGTTTCCATCTCCTACCTACAGATGAGGAATTAAGAAGAACGTGGCTGAAACATCTGAACTCGAAGAGAACACCCAAAACTCTGCATGTGTTCATTTCACTTTGTTGACAAACGGCCGACGGAGGAAAACCTGCATCCTACTTTGTGTCTGGACGACAATAAACCACCGGAGAAGAGACGCCGGATCCTCAGAAGGATTGAAAACAGTGACGAGAACATCAGGGATGACTTCAGGTGTATGGAGGTCACAGTTTTATAACATTTGTTCATCTTCAGTTTTATGATTTTCTCTGTAATTAACTCAAGCTGAGTGCTGGAGGACTTTAAGGCAACACAGAGCGGTTGAATGAAAAAAAAAAACCAATTGACAAGTCTTGCGAGTTAGTTTGCTGTGGCAACTCCTGAAGATCAATCAATCAACCTTTATTTCTACAGGTAAATCCCATTGAGCCTCAAGGACTCATTTACAAGAGAGACCTGATTTCAACAAAGAAAGATGACAACAATGGACAACAGCAACAACAATAAACAGTTATAAAAAAAGCATACTACAGTTCTTTTTTTTTTTTTTTTTTAACAAATAGGATGGCTAAAGGAAAAAGGTAACAAAACAAAAAACAGCTAGATTCCAAGACAAATGTAGAAAACTAAAAACAGGAACATGTCAGCATTGGACCCTGCCAGGAGTCCAACAGATTCTTAAAGACACTTAGAGAGGTCAAAGGTCGAGAGCTTGACCTCTCTAAGTGTCTTTAAGAATGAAGAATGAAGAAAGGAATGAAGAAAGGAGCAGCTGAAAGAAAATAAATAACTCAGGTACAGATACAGGTTCTTTAGGTACTGGGAGCCACTTCAGGCCTCATGAGGCTCCAGAGCCGCATTTTGAAGACCCTAGCCCTGCCCCTCAGTGTAGTCCTGCTGTGATTGGTCGGTGCCTTAACTCTTTCTTTCTATTGGCTCTCTATGGGAAAGGGGCGTGCACATCTTCTCAGTCAAAATCTGACAGGAAAGATGTCAAAAACTGACAAGAGCCGTTCGTTGTTGTACACGCCCCTTTACTTTGGAGAGCCAATAGAAAGACAGCGTAGGGACACCGACCAATCACAGCTCTGTATTTCAGATGTCTTTGACCAATGGCGTTACGGCCTGTGGCTACAGTCGCCTGCGAACACTGCAGTGCAGCAGCCAGTCTGCTCACAGAGAAACATGGACGAAACTACGTTACGAGTGAAATGGTAGGCGAACTGTTAACTAACTGTTAACCAACGCAGGCTGTCCGCTGTTTGGAGCGTTCGTCACGCGGATGTTGGCCGTACAGTTTCCCTCTCGCGGCTACTACCCGTGTAGTGTTGACATCATTGTTTGCTAGCAGCTAGCTTGAGTTCCTGTTTATGTGACGTGAAATGCGGCTCCACATCTGTCTGCTGTTATTAATGATATTAGCTAAGGTGATCAGCTCTCCGTTAATTAAACTTGCTTAGTTTTTATTTTACTTAAGGAACGCTGGTCGAAAACACAAATGAAGTTTTTATATAATTAATTTTCATTTGATATGATTGTTGTTGTCTGTACCACATCTGTGTTCTTTGTTTAAATCAGGTGTCTCTTGTAAATAAGTCCCCGGGGCTAAATGAGACTAACCTGTAGAAATAAAGGTTGAATGAATGAACAAGAACACGAGGACTCAGCGTCAGTATTTCTGTTTTCTTTACATTTTGCTCCCTCTTCAAAACTTACAGCGTCAGTTATAATGTGTGTTATCATGCATCGTTGGGTATTCTTGTCATTATAATATTATCATATCTGTAAAAGAAGAACGAGCTTGAAGCCATTTACTTTTTGTTTTCTTGTCTTCCAGCTGTCCCAGTGACCCCCTCCACATGGGCCCATAAACATGTCCACAGATGACAGTGTTTCCGAGGACGCGTCCAGCTCGGCAGCTTTGAGCCACTGCCATGTCGGTGCTGATGGGGAGAAGGAGAGCGAAACTTCCTTGGTGTCTTCTGAGGGGACATCAGCCTCAGGCCTGGCCATCTCAGAAGAGAGACGCACCAGCTCCCAAACAGCAGGGGACGCTGTGGAGAGCAGGCCCGTGGACATCGCACCAGCATGCAACAAGATCAGGTGCAGTAACCAGCAACACTCTGCTCGTGTGAAAAATGGAAAGAAACGAGAGATTTGTCAGTTGTTTGATGTTGGGGGCTCTTTCTGACGTAGTCTGGCCTTGAGCCTGCAGCCTCAGAATGACGAGACTGCGGCGCCGACAGCTGAGGCAACCCGTCTGTCCATGCACGTTGTGACATCATAACGTGAAAAATAATGGAGGTACTGACTCTCATTTTGGACGGCACAGTGGCTTAGTTGGTGGAGCTGTCGCTTCACAGCGAGAAGGTCACTGGTGCTGGCCTCTTCCTCGTCGACAGTCATGTAAAAAAAGAAGAAACTGTCCAGATGACTTGACTGAAAAATGTTGATTGTATACCTGGATTATTGAGCATGGACTTTGTTGTTTTGAACCAGTTTGACATGACTGTCGACGAGGAAGAGGGCCGGCAACGGAGAAGGGGGCGTGCCAAAGAGACCAGCTTAGCACCAACATAACTGGTTTGTTCCACTTTGGAGTTAGCTGTTTGGGGAAGAATCAGTTTTGTGTTGTGAGTTTCCTTGACTGATGAAGCCTTCTGGATGGAAGGTGAAACGTTTCAGCACCAAAAAAAAGAAACTGTTCAGATGACCTGACTGAAAAATGTTGGATGTGCTCTAACAGTCACTGTGCTCTAACAGACACTGTGCTCTAATAGACACTGTGCTCTAACAGACACTGTGCTCTAACAGACCCTGTGTGCTCCAACAGTCACTGTGCTCTAATAGACACTGTGCTCTAATAGACACTGTGCTCTAATAGACACTGTGCTCTAACAGACCCTGTGTGCTCTAACAGTCACTGTGCTCTAACAGACACTGTGCTCTAACAGACCCTGTGTGCTCTAATAGACACTGTGTGCTCTAATAGACACTGTGCTCTAACAGACACTGTGCTCTAA